CGGGGCGCGGGCCCGACTCGGGGTCCAGCGGGGTGGACGGGCCGGCCTGGAGTCCCCGTTCCCTTTCCCGGCCGTTCCTAAGGATGTTTGTGCCGCGAGGCCCTTAATTGAGGTCAGCCCGTTGTCCTTTCCTTCTTTCCAGTTTGACCCGGTGAAACAGGTTTTGCAGCCCCTCGGTCTTCCGGTTCTGCCGCTGCGGGCTCAGGTTCTGGGATTCAGCAGTGCCCAGCGGCCCTCCCAGCGTGCAACGTTTGCCCCGAGGCCGGGTAGCTCTTGTAGTTCTGCACATCGCTGAAATTTCAGTTGGAGGGGGAATACTTGGGGTTGGGGCACTGTTGAGCCCCTTGGGTACGCTTTCACGGGGTTCTTGGAGGGAGTGGACGGGTTTGAATGCTGCACGCAGTATTCATCATCTTTGGCAGTTATTCACAAAACATTCAAGTGTTGATAAGAAGCCCTCTGGTTTGATGTTCGGGGAGACAGACCTTCTCAAAGAAGAAATGACACTGCGAGTGAGAAATGTAGCCTTGTCCCTCTTGGGAACTGTGTACGTGATTTGTCGATAATTCCTTTCTGGGAAGTTTCCTGAAAGTAGGCTGTACTGGCAGTAGTCGGGTAGGAAGAAAGTCAGTAGGTTAGTTCCCGTTTTCTTTCAGAGTGTGCCAAGGTCCAAGGGGATAGGCTAGTTTAAGTCACTAAGGGTAAGAATTTTTATTTTTAAAAAAGTATCTAGGAACTACATAAGAGAACTTAATTCGCCATCTCTTCAAAATGTTTCTTACAGATCTATAGCGAATGTTTTCTCCTCAATTTAGATGTGGTACAAGAAAGGGCACATTAACCTTAGCTTGTACTTATATTTGCAGAGAGAGAGATTAGGTCCCTAAAGTTACCTGAAAGTAACTTTTTCTTTGTCAAAAGAAAATCTCTCATAGGTGCTTGTGTATGTAAGAAGGAACAAGGAAAATGCAAATTATGTATAATGCAGGAATTACTGTGTCAGGTGGAAGGACCTGAAGATGGGTAAGTCCACACTGCCTCCAGGTGGTCAGGCTTAATCTCTTGCTTGAACAGTGAACAAGTACCAGGTGCATGCCCCCCTCAGCAGCCCCAGGGCTAGTGTTGGAAACCAGGGCCACAGACATGCTAGGAGAGCCCTACCAGTGAGCACACCCCAGCCCACAAGTACAGTATGTTTTTAAGAGTGCCTTGATGGGAGAAAGCATGGGTGTACAGAGGAGCTAGAAAGCAAAGATGAGATGGTGGAGGGGGCAGTAATTAAGAAAACCTTTAAATAGAAGGTGATGGAAACTACTGGACAGGCACAGAAACCATCGGCATTTGGGTAGAAGGAACAGTGTTGGCAAAAGCATCGCAAACTGTATTGCAGGATCTGCAAGGGGTATATCTAGTTAGAAGATAAGAAGGTGGGGAGACACCAAACTGGGAAGGTAGGCAGGGGCCAAATTCTGGATAGAGGTGGTCTTGTACACCATCAGAGAAATTTCAGCTTTTCTTATAAGCAAGTAGTGGGCACTGAGACAGGATGAAAAGGAGAGATCTAAACTGGCTCAACCCATTTTTAACTCCCTGTCTGTAACAGGCACTGTATTAGGTACTGTATATTTTATTTTACCTGAAGCTTAAGGACTAAGCACGATTGAGATAGAGATTGAGGAAAGGAACTTAGACCAAAGCAGAGTTGAACGGACATGTGGCACAAGACAGCATGGGACACTTGGAGGAGTAGGAAGTTTTCCACAGCTGTGGCCATTGTAATAAGTAACAGACAAGGCTGCAGATAGGTCCTCAAAAATGCTTCCTGACACTCTAGGGCTTTTAGTGTTTTTTCCTATGGGTGATAATAGGGTTTACAGCTATTACTCAGGAAAGAAGCATGATAATGTTTTCATTTCAGAAAAGTCATTCTAGAATTGCAGAGTAGAGATTTTAGGAAGTATGGAGGTTGTTTAAGATTGGGTGCAGAAAGCCTGGTTAAGAGATTTTGACACTTGAGATGGGTGATAACTCTTAAGAGTCAGTTGCGATGCAGAGGAGTAGGTTAACAGCACAGGTATTTATAGAGTACAGTTTATAGGATTCAGCAACAGTTGGATTTGGGGAATGGGGGGAGAAATAACAGGATTAGATGACCTGGATCTCAGCTTGGGTACTTGAGTAGACAATGATGAAGTATACTGAGATGGAATTCAGGGAGGGCAGCAAATTGGAAAGGAACATTTTTTTGAACTTTGGACATGTTATTTTTTTCTCAGTGTGTGGTTGAACCCAGGGCCTTTGCCCTGATCTACAACCCAGTCTCCTCTTTATTTTTAATTTTTTTTTGTTTTTTGAGACAGGGTCTCACTATGTAGATGAGACTGACCTGGAACTCACTAGGTAGCCCAGGCTGGTCTTGAATTCACAGTGATCCTCCTGCTCCAGTCTCCCAAGTGCTGGATTACAGGCATGTGCCACCACACCCCGGCTATTTTTAATTTTGAGACAGGGTTTCGCTAAGTCACTAAATTATTTAAGTTGGCTTTGAACTTGTGATCTTCCTGCCTCGCCCTCCCCAGTACTGGGATTCCACCACACCTGCTGAGTTTTGAACCTAGTAGGAATTATCTGTGAACTCCCCCTGATGGAATCACCTGCTACAGAGTTGCATGTGTGAATTTGGGGTATGAAAGGGAGCTGTTGATCTGCAAGTCAACAGACTGTTTTAGCTGATAGCTGAAGCCTTTGGTTTCTGAAACATCACACAGGAAACGTTTACTGACTAGCTGATGGTTCTGTAAATAGGTCTTGAGAACAATAGAGAGGGCCAGGGATTTAGCTTGGTGGTTCTGCCACCTGCCTTGCAAGCACAAGGACCAGACCAGAGTTCGATCCCCGGAACCCCCCGCCCCAGAACAAATAGCTAGAGGAAGCTAGGTAGAGGAAAAAGAACTGGAAAGGAAACTCCTAAATGTTCAGAGATGTAGAGAAATCATGAAGAAATGTCATAGAAGCCAAAGTAAGGTTATTGTAAAGGGAAGCTCTACTTCACAACTCTCCAGAAAAAAGTAAAAACATTAAAGGAAATCCTTGATTATTGAATGAAAATTTAAATTTATTTTTAGTACTGGAATTGAACCCCAGGCCTCTTGCATGCCAGTTAAATGTGTAACTACTGAGGTACATCGTCATCCTTTATATTTTGTGACAGCATCTGGCTAAGTTGTCCTGACTGGCCTTGAAGTTGCAGTCCTGCTGCAGCCTCTGGAGTAGCTGGGGTTACAGTTAGGTGCTACCACACCTGGCCTGGGAAATGCTATTTTAAGTGTTCTATGTAGTGCAGTGAAACAAGGATTATTAAGAGTCTGTTGGGTTTGGTGACTAAGAAGTTAGTGAGTTTGATAACTAAGTAGTAGCACTTTGTTAGAATGATTAGGGAACGGGCTCAGTTTTCATTGAGCAGAGGAGTTCATGGGAAATCAGTGGAGAGAAAGCAAATACGAATTTTTTTTTAATTTTGAAGAATAAAAACATCTTAATGGTGAAGGGAAGAATGGAAAGAGGTGGCAGCAAAAAGTGATAAAGGATTGAGGGAAGAATTTCTAACATGACAGAGACTTGAACCTGCTTTTCTAAAACACATTTATTGAAATTTAGTTCATATAGCCATAAAATTAACCCTTTTATTTTTTATTTTAAATTTTGAGACAGAGTTGACCTGTAACTTTAGATTCTCTTCCTTCAGCCTCCTGAGTGGCTGGGATTATAGTTATGCACCACTGTGCCTGGCTGAGTTGATCCTTTTAAAATGTACAGTTCAGTGATATTAACAGAGTTTGCAGCCATCACTAAAACAATCAGTTTTTAGGACATTTTCATTATCTTTCCAGAGGAAAACTCTTACCTCTTAGCTGTCTCTGCTTGCACATTAAAGTACTTTCTGTTGCTGTTGTTTTGCCGGTTGTGGACATTTCATGAATGAAATCTTATGAGTGATCTTTTGTGACTGACTTCTTTCACCTAGCACATTTTCAGAGATCATCCATAATGAATAATTCTCTATTTTCTGGATATACAGGTTGAGCACCCCTAATCTGAAAATACCAAATTCATAATGTTCCAGTGTGTGCTAGTTTGAGAATTTTGGATTAATGCCCATCCAGAGGAATTTATGCATATATTTTCAAGTCTTCGACCCTGAAATCTGAAACACTTCTGGCTCCAGGTATATCACAGAAGGGATACTCAGCTTGTGCCACATTTTGTTTATCCACTCATAGGTTGATGAATGTTTAAATAAATACTTTTTGGTTAATCTGTATAATGCCGGGTGAATATTCATGTACAGCTCTTAGTGTGGGTATATGTTTCCTTTCTTGTGGGTATATTCATAGGCATAGAATTGCTGGGGTGATATAATAAAAAATTATATAGGATTTAGTCTTTGTTCCTGATTCCTAGCCCAGAACTTTTAGGATTCTTGGAGTCTCCTGAAGACAGTGGCCAGTCCCCTTTTACTTGCAATTTTGCTTTTAGCTGTTAAAGTTACCTGTACCGAACCACAGTCCTCAAAAATCAAGTGGGAGTTCTAAAAATAACCAATTTATGAGTTTTAAATTGCGCAGTTCTGATGAGTGATGAAATCTTGGTCTGTCTCACTTGGGATGCGATGTCCCTTTGTCCGTACACATACCCAGCTGTGTGCACTACCTGTCTGTTAGTCACGCAGCATCCTCCTCGGTTATTAGTTCTGCTGCTGTGGATTTGAAGTGCTAGTGTTCTGATAACCCCTGTGCAGTGGCTTACCACCATGTCACAGTGCCTGCACCGTCCGCCTCCCTTCATCTTACCACTTCAGTGTTGTAGTGTCTCATGCCCTTACAAGAAAAGGGTGCACTACAGTAAGGCATTTTGAGAGATTGCGATCACATTCATGTGACTTTTACTAGTCTGTTGTCAGCACTGTTCTATTTTATAAATTATTGTTGCTCTCTCACTGTGCGTACTTTATGCGTTAAACTCTACTGTAAGGTCTGTGTGTGTAGTGAAATCAGTTTCAGGCACCCACTGGAACCTTGGGAAGTAACCCTCCATGGATAAGCAGGGAGTGTCTTGTTACTCTCAGTAGGCCTCTTCTGATCACACCTGAGTTTATGCTAACAAGTAACCTCAGGAAGGGGCTGCATGCCAGAGGAGCCAACCACATGACTGGAACTTTCTGCCCAAGCCCTGTGTGGGAGCAGGTGTGGGGTGCACATTGACCTCAGTCAGTCATGAGATGGTGTCCCTGTGTGCTTCACAGTGCTTCTGGTTGGCGAGTATACTGGTCATGAGCGGCTGTCGCATGGTGATGTCACTGGAAGGAGTTCCTGCTCCTGCTGTCCTCTGGTCCTCATCTGTGTACCCTCTTCATGTAGCTCTTCATTTGTTCCTTTATATCCTTTACATGAACTAGTAAATGTGAATGAAGTGTGTCCCTCAGTTTTGTGAGCCACTTTTGCATATTACTGAATCTGTGTCAGAGGTTTCTGGCTGTTTGCCTAGAAGCACAGGTGCTGAGCAGTATGGCACGCATGCCTAGCAGCTGAAGTGAGGCAGTCTTGTGGACAGACCTTTAAACCTCAGGTGTCTGACTTTAATTCTTGGGAGTGTGTCAGAATTCAGTTGAATTAGAGGGCACTTGGTATCTGAAGAGTTTTGGTGTGGAAAAAAATACATGTGGTGTCAGAAGTGAGAAAATGACTTGTATGGTGACCCTGGTGTTTAACGCTCATGTGGGTCTGAATTTTGTCCAGTGCCGTTGCATGTCAGCACAGAGGACTCCCTTCACCATGTCTTGTGGGGTGTGTCTTCTAGACTTTTCTCAGCTTTTCTTTTTTGTTTGTTTGTTTGTTTGTTTTCTGAGATAAGGTCTCACTCTGTAGCCCAGGCTGGCCTCCTCCTCATGGAGAGCCTCCTGCCTCAGCAGGTATGTGCCGTCATATCTGGCTTCAGTTTTTCTTAATCTAGAGTGGCTAGAGTGGG